CATACCCGCATCCCAAACCCACACTCACACCCACACTTACACCCACACCCATGTCCACATTCACACCCGTATCCCAAACCGACACCCACCCCATACCCACACCCACGCCCGCACTCATACCCACATACTAGCAGTATTTAGATTTGCACAAAAAGAAATTTCGAAAGTTTTAGAAAGTTCAAATATTTGTGTCGCAATTCTTTAGATATTTCCAAAAGTGTTGTAATTTCCGAAGATTCTGAAATTTCTGAAATTTCTGTAATGCTATACCTTCCGAAGTCTTGGTAATTACAGGGATTTCTAAAGTTTCCATTATTTTTAAAATATTTTGATTTGTATTCCTATGTAATTATCGGAACAATGGAAGCTTCAAAAATCCCAGTAATTCTCTTTTTTGGAAATCTGAACATACCTCCCACACCCTTAATATATTTTCTTAGCAATAACAGAAATACGATTGCTGGACTGATTGCATAGTATATACGTCATGTATGAACATATAATAACTGGTTAAACCCTTGAAAAATTTGTTTTGTCTTTTATTAGCAGAGATTAAGAATGTCTTCGAGATCTGGACTAGAATAATGTTAATGATTTCTTTTTTGTTGTGAGAAAGAATGAGAACATCTTCGAAGTTAAGCATAATGTGATAGAACAGCATACAAAGATAGAAAATATTAGGTAAGGAATGAAAGAAACAGATATGGAACACCAACAATAGAAGGGTAACTTGAGGTGAGGGGAGAAGTATGAAGAAAGAAACGAAACAAAGATCCATTCGAGCTACTGTTATGGCAATGATTATTTTATTTCACTTGTAGCCGATAATACAGATTCTGTTAATTCCTAATAATATGGCAGATTTCAACTTTCCGTTCCTTTTCTTTCTTTTTGGAAAGGAACGTTAGAAAAATGATAACTTTCGTTTTCTAAAAAAAAAGAAAGGGAAGCAATGGCTTTTCTTTCTAAAAATAAAAGGAAAGTTATTGTGTCATTCCTAGTGTCGCTGAGGGCGCTAAATATATATGCGAACAAATGCTTCTATCTCTCGTCGACATATTGGGCATGATCGTAAGGAATGGCCACATGAAACACAGGTGGCGAAATGTCCGCATGGAATACACGCAATACGTTTTTCTTCGTTCATGCACAAGGCACAAGGATTTGTCAAAATCGTAGTATTGGTTTGCATTGGCTCTGAAAATGGGATTTTAGTGGCTAATTTTGTTGTTTTTGTATCCTCAACGGTTGGCTTTGGCGGTGTTCTAGTATCGGATTCACTATTGGGCATGTTCGATGGATGTGTCCTTTCAACATTTGAAGCAGTCGTTGTAGCGGGATTTTGTAGCGTTGTAGAAGGTAGGATCGATGAAGATGATCTAGTGCCTGCTTCTAAACAATTGTTTTATAACAAATATTGTTGCAAGACACTTGTTTTCACGAAACCTACCTGCTTGTTCTTGCTCACGAATTTGTTGCATTCGCATACTGGGAACGACGATGTTCTCTGTTTTACCTTTAATACAATCGATTTGTTTCTGAAGAATGATGCAAGCCATCAGTAGATCCGAATCAGTTTCAAAGTCTTCTTCTGAAATGATTATTTTTATTATAGAAAAATTTGTCGAGCAAAATTAAGATCATTGATTTTTACGTTTTAATCGAAGTTGATCTTCCCAACATCGTTTGATGACTGACAATTTAAAATTTTGATCCAGCAATCTTTGTGAATTTGATAAATCCAGACGAGCAGCAACATAGCGCGACAATATGCTCTCATCGGCTATTTGTAGCTTTTTAGTGTTTGAATTTTCATGATTCGTCGAATCATTGGCTCTGGTACGTTCTAGTAAAAAAAGAATGATACATTATATATACGAGAACATGAACACTAATATAGCAATTTTGCATAGTTAAATCCTATCTAAAATCGAATCAAAATAATGAATACAGAATCATTCTCATCTGACATCTTTAGTCAATTTTGTTTAAAGGCTATTTTCGTCCCAAACGGCAGCTATTATCAGTTTTTTGTTTCAATACAATCGATCGGAGGCAACACTTTAATATAATCATATAACAAACTAGATGTGCTCAGCTCTTGTAGCATGTATGAATTTCAATTGATTTCTACTATTATAGTGTTGACTGAGTTATCACTCAACAGAAACGAAAACATTTACTATTTGTCAACATAGCAACAAATGAAAGCTGAGCAAGTATTCAGCAAATAGATAAATCAATAGATAGTAGTCCACTGGTAAATCTCTAGCGTTGATATTTATTCAACTATGTCATTGGGGATTGCCATTTCGCCATTAGACAATAAAGCAAAATACGTACATGACGAAATTTTGTCATTTATCAATCCATAGATAATTGCTATTTTGTCCGTATCTATTGTGGTTTCATTTATTTACCTAGTTAAAACAAGCTCAAAAGGCTATACCAGATTTCATGAGTAATGCCACTTGAACCATACCTATCCTTAACACTGCTAGCGTGCATACAATCCTAACATTTTTTGAATTTCCCAAATGACTGGAATCTTTAAAAGTTTTTAAATTCTGCGTAGTTTTCTCATTCTTATGATTCTCGTAGCAAATCATGTCCTTAGAGTTTAAGAGATCTCAAAAATCTTAATAATTGAAAGACATTAGAAAATTGCTGGATTGTAATATTATAAAAATTCACGACTTCTCTTGACTCAAATAAATTTTCACTGTCAATGATTGTTCAAGCTAATAACACATTCACATACCTTGGGCAAGTCGTTTTGATTCCTCAATTTTTCGATAAAGATCATCGCCACAAAGTTGCTTGGCATAAGCACAATGAGGAAACCATCTTACATGCTCAATTATTGGATTATCACTAGAACCCCAGTTTTGGAGCGATCCATTGCAATAAAAACACGTCACAATAGTCTTTTTTCCAGTATAGAAGAATCCAGCTCGAACAAAATCATCGATAGGAGGTAGTTGTTCACTGGGCCAATTGGAAAATGATGCGTAGCGCTTCGGTATTTCCAAAAATGCGCTGTGGCAAGCTGCCGTGGGCACAATCTGATTTGAACGAAATGCTTCGTTAACCGCTACCGCTGATGCCTGGTTGCCAGTAGAATCTTCATTCACAATCACTAGAGGCGTCGTTTCGCGCTCTACTAACATGCCTTTCACGTAGGGACACTTGGGTGATATGGTTTTATGCACTAGCCATGGGTCATCTGTTTGTGGCATCCATTGTTGACAAATGAGATTACAATACAAACATATCACACGATCACCAATGTTACAGTGAAAAAATCCAGCTTCGATCATTTGTTCTCGAGATGGCGACTTTCGATGAGGCCAATGCGAGAAAGTGCGATGGCGTATTCTTCTGAGTGTCTCTACTTCGAAAAATGTGTGTACCGGAACTCTGTCGTTGGATATTTCTAATTTTTGACGTTTGGCAGATTTCTCTCGTTCATCGGTATTTGCAATAGGTATTTTGATAGCAGTAGTTATTGCAGATGACGAAGATGATTGAGAGAATAGATTCAATGATTTTATTGAACGAACGAATGGGCAATTCGGACTACGTTCTGAATGAATAGAAAATGGTTTCATATCGAGCGTCCAGTCGGACACTTCGAGTTGACAGCTATCGCATCGAGCTGTATCCCTCACATTAATATATCGGAATCCAGCTGCCTTCATAGAATTTATCGAATGAATGCCTTGTTTTCTGGAAAGATCTCGACAAATGTCCAAAATTTTAAGGTGCACATCCGCGAGCAATTTCTTTGATTCAACGTTCGTGTAAACGGGTGTTTTCGACAGATTCCTGTTGGAAGCTATCGAAGTATACTGGTCGGCTGCAACTTGATTGCGACAGCTTTCAGTAGGTTTCAATTGAATTACGTCGGATTTAGACCATACTGCACGAAGTCTATCAAGGTTGCAACAATTCGATTGTTTGTCTTGGATATGAGTCTTTGCCGATGCAATTGCTTGATCTAATATAGTTTCTTTTTGTGTTCCAACTGTGTAAGAGGCATTCGTTCTTAACTTTGTTGCGACAGGGTTGACGATCTCCAAATCCATAGAGTTGGATTTCATCGTTAATAATAAACTCAGAGAAATCAGATGAAGAATAAAATTGAATATGGTTCAATGTACTGAACGAGATCTGTGTCTGAAAATATACACAAAGATTAGACATCATTTTGCCTCGCATTTCTTCCGTAAACAAGTCAGAAGAAAAGATCGCTTTCTATTATCATATGATGAATCAGTGCTAATTGCCCGAGACAAAAAAGATCGAAAGGCAAAATCTTGGAAAAAAGATCAAAAGGTAAAATCTCGAACATGCAAAATCTCGAAGGGTAAAAATCTCAAATGTACAAAATCTCGAAAAACAAGAATCTAGAAATAGAAATCTCGAAAGTGTAATTGTTAGATACATGATTTATTAACACATTTAGCCCGATGTGATCCACCGGTGGATCACACTATATTTTAAGAAGAAACTGTACAGAAAACTGCTTCCTTTTTTGCCTTATACTTAGGCAGGGGGTTACACATAATGTGTCACCTGCTCTGTCTTCAGTATTTTTTGAGTCCTTTATTCCATAGCATGATGCTTCTCGTTAAAACAATCAAGATATACGTATCTAAGCATGTTGGAGAGTACCAAGTATGACGTAAACGAGTATATTATTAGGAAAAATCCAATATAGAACATGTGATAACATACTAGGAAAAACCCAATACGTCATGTTGGTAAAAGCCAGTATGTGATGCATAGAAGTAACTGTCCGCGCGATATACTAATCAGAAAAGAGAAAACAACGAGCCAGCACAGAATGAAAAGAACAACGAATGCACACAAAAATGAATCTACTAGAGCTATTCTGTGATAAAACTGAATCGGGCTGAATATGTTAATTATAAGTTTGTTGAAGAAAGATAAAAATGTAGAAGTGAAAAGGATACGTATACATCATCGGCTATAATGCGGTGTTTTACCGCTTCAGCTAGAGAGTGAAATTAACACAAAAGAAAACTGACAAGTAACATGATCATAAGAAAAAGTTCGGCAGTGTTTTGAAAATCGCGTCTCCCCTTTCATTTCCTTTTGATTAGTAACGGTAAACTTTGAAGATTTCCTTACGAATCAACTTTCGCATTTTGAGATTTTGACGATTAGGGTATCGGTATCGGTATCAAGCATGGTTACTGAATGTGAGTAAACTAACAGCTCATATTCAAGCTTACTATCATCAAGCCCGACACCCAAACTCGCTCACGCTCGAAAATACGTTCAAACCGGTACTGACACTTGAAGAAATGTGGCCCATCAGCCAACGAAGCTCGGCTGGGACCGTTGTAATGAAAGATGGTTTTCAGCTGAAATCTACTCTTATTGATTGTTTTACGAACTTTTGAGATTTTCCACATTCGATATTTTACCTTTCGAGGTTTTGTAGTTCGACATTCTGCATTTCGAGATTTTGCTCATTTGATGTTTCTTTTCCGGGCTTTTTCTTGTCGAGATTTTGCGTTTCGAGATTTTTTTTTCGAGACTTTTTTTGTTCGAAATTTTTCCCTTCAATCTTTTGCCTTTCGATCAATGAGCACTCCCCCCATATGATGAATAGAAAGAAAAAAAACAACAAGCTATCACACTTTTCCGTCCACAATATGCGGAAACGGTAATAATATAGTAACAATAAGTTCGATCAGAGCATCAATCCTGCTAATGCGACATACCTTCAGCAGAGATACAGTTATTCCCGTCGTTGTATTTATGTACAAGATTACTAGAACTCTGTAACGTTCGAAAATCTATTCTTTCTAATAGACCTATCTATCGAATTAGTCACCAAGGTCGAATAAGCACGGTCGTAAACGATGATATACGAAGAAATACGACCAAATACACGGCTCAGTATTACGATTGTAAATCTCTGTGTCGTATATGGAGTAATACGGCGATATACGGAGAAAAACACGGTCGTTTACCATTTTCGTATATGCAGTCCGTATACGGTGATCGTTTTACTCCGTATTTCTCCGTACACGATCGTACCACAGCGTATACGGGGACGACGATATACGATCGTAATACTGAGCCATGTATTACGGTAAGATACGACCGTAAACGATCGTACCGAGGTCGTATACGATCGTTTACAGCCGTATACGAAGTCTCTAATCGTCGACCTGGGCATGCTCGATTTGAATGTCACTATCAAAACTTTTGATAAATGTGGCATCATGATCAAAAAATATTATTACGTAACTCCATCCTTGTCAAAGATCTTTCAGTACAATCCCTAATAGATTAAAATGAGAAACATAATCCAGCCAAGTTATCCATAACGAAAAAATTTCGCTACATCTATTACGATTCCTATCGAGTCCAAATAGCACAATATCGAAAAATCCCTAAGACTATCACAGATTGCGACTAACATGTCAGCACGTATTTTTTTCATTTT